GGATCGGGATGGAAGGTTGCTTGTAGCTCAGGCAGAGACAGATATCAGGGTTGAAAGAACTGAAGATAATGTGGCGTTCACCCGCCAAATCATAGACTTTCGACAACACTGTGTCGCAGAAGGAGTTGAGCTCGACGGCATAGGTGTCCATCTCGTGCTCCTCACTCTCGTGCAGCATGGGGTATTTCATCTCAATGTTGAAGCCAATGTTCTCTGGAAGCCTGCGGAAAAGATCCTCCAGGGTTGCAAATGGCGCTTGGATAAAGTTACCCCGCGAGTTTGCTTTGAAGCCCTTCTCCTTGAAATCTCTGGTGTGTTTCATGCGCTCATCCATTTCCTGGGATGAGCCCGAGCCGGCAAACCCCATCGATTGAGAGCGCATGGGGGTGAAACTGTTACTACGGTTTCTTCCCGTAGGTTCTTTCGGGGATGTCGTGCCCTTCTTTGCTTGTCCTTCATGTCCTTTGCGCGCACTATCTGGGTTGATATGCAAGAATTGCTCCAGTGTCAGAGTATGGACGGGGGCATCTATGCCGGTCTCGCTAACGAGAAAGTCGTGATAGATGACAGGGACGTGGTCTTTGGTCAACTGAACATCGAATTCGACATACTGGGCACCCAGATTGGCGGCTGCAATGAAGGAAGGCAGAGTATTCTCGCCAAGCTGCAAAGATCGATTCGACGCCATATTCTTTCCGAGGCCTCTATGGCCAATGACCATCGTCGAATCTAACTTTTTCCAATATGTCTGTCGCGATGTAATCTCCATATTGGGATGGTGGAAAGGCGTGATGACGAGAAAGTTGAAGTTTACCGTGCCAATGACATCTAGCGTGCTTGAAATGATGGGAACGCATACGTCGCCTTGCAAGTTCATCCTACTAGAGCCGAGATTGGGCTTAACGGACGACAGAAGAGCAACAGCACGACCAATCTTGTTCTTCTCATTGCCCGAGTATGTCGGTACAATGTCGAAAAACAATTTGACAGCTGAAGCATTGGTGGTTGTGAAAATGATTGGTTCTGTTGCAATGTTCTCCTGGACTGGAAGATCAAGAATTGTAGGCTCTCCTTGAGCTCCGCTGGCTGAAACAACGACAGACAGAGCTGTATCCAACTGAGTGTTGTGTGCCTCTGTCAAAGGGACTCGGTCCAAGTACACCGCTTCTGTCGGCTTCCGGACGTCCAGACTACCGAGTGCCACATGAACAAGACATTCGTTGGTGAGGTAACGATGACCAAAAGTCTTGACAGGCTCAGCTCGTCGGGCTGGAGAGGTGGTTCTGCCGTTCCCGTTTGATTTCCGTCCATCAACCGAGGAACTTTCTCCAGGCGTCAGGTATGGTCCGTTTCCAGGTCTTGTGGGAAGATCAATATCGGCGGTATGTTCCGCTAACAATTTCGCAATGTCGATGTGTCCGCGTAGAGCTGCATGCTCTTTCGCAGTCCATCCTGAAGAATCGGGGCGAGACACATTGGCTCCGGACTCGACGAGCAGCTTCACCATGGGGAGGTGGCCGTCCACCGCCGCAACATGCAAAGGGGTCCAGGCGTAAGTATTCTCACTGGCTTCTAGGTCGGCTTTCTGAGAGTCGCTACCCTTGACGAGCACCTCTGCGCTCTCAAGATGGCCGAATCTAGCGGCCAAGTGCAGCGCAGTCTCTCCATCCTTGTCCTTCCAGTTGACATCAACACCGGCCTTGATAAGCATCTCGACGATGATGTTATAATTAGCTTTGCTCGCGATGGCCAAAACGGCGCCAGACTTAGAGACCGTCTTTCGAATCTCAGCTTTAGATTCGCTAGTTCCATCCCAATCCTCTCCTTGAAGAAGAGCCTTTGTCGTAAGAGGGTGACCGCCAATGACAGCAAGGTGAAGAGGGGCGAAGCCATCCAGGTCCTGCCACTCGGGAGCATCGATTCCGTTTTTTGCGTCAAATTGGTTCCATTGTTGCATTTTGGCCATAATAGTCTGTGACACAACTAACAATCCATATTGGGCTGCGTAATGGAGTGGGAGCCGGCCAAAGGAATCACGGGCCGCAAGGCCATCCTTGTGACTGTCTTTCAAGTTATCGAGGAGGAAGATGAGAAGTTTCACAGCTTCGTCGTCCTTTTGCCCAACGACGGCCTCTGTGTCGTTAAGCGCTCTTATGGCCACTGAAGAAGAGACCGGGGGTTGAATGTGCCTATTGCTGAACTGTGCACCAACTGGGACCTGACCAGCGCTCGAGTCATTGGCTGACGACGACGCCTTTGTGCGGCCAATGTGGATTACAAGTCGGTGGATACAGTTGCGGTTATTGATGTCTTCAGGCTCATCAAGAGTTGGGATGCGACCCAGCAGATGAAGAATGCAAGCTTCAGAGCGTGCAGAGATAGATCGCTGGAGGAGATTCAAGAAAATCGTGTGAAAAGAATCATCCTCTCCCAGCTTTGCGTCCTCGAGACTCTTCTTCAGCGCTTCCACGTCGTCCTTCCGGACGGCTTGGTCCAAAACATCGAGCTGGGACTGAGGCAGAACGACCATGGCTCTGGACGAAGCTCGGCCCAAGGAACGGCTTGACCGATCTGATCTCGCATCGTCCATGTTCTGGGCATCTGCGAGAACTGATAGCCAGCGATTGATATCAGCCAAGAGCCTACTGATGTTTCCATCTTTGGCAAAGGGCTTGGGGTCCACCTTGGTGGATATATATCTGTGCTGTGTGGTGATAGACGGCACCTTCTTGTCGAGCTTCTTGGTGATCTTGACAAAACCGCGCCTGTTGATCTCGCCAAACCACTGGAGATTCCTCAGCTGGTTGCGCAAGTCCAACAAGGCGCCCATTACCTCCTCCACCTCATCTTGGTCCATGCTGTCCACCACATCTGGGACCCGCCCATATCGGTTGTGGAGTAGATTCAACCGTCGGCAAACATCAGCAAACTTCCTGTTGTAGAAGCTGTCTACATCCTCGAGATTTCGGTCCAGGGCGAAAAAGAACTCTGCGGGCAAGTTAGGGGATGGGGTCAGCCCCGACAAAAGCCAAGACAAGGCCTCCCACCTGCTGGATCCACCTGCTCTCCATTCTTCACCTTCTCCGATGCGCCTTTGATGATCTTCTTCAGACCCTTATAGTTGATATAAGAGGCTGCCCACTCGGGCACCTGATTCCGAGGAAGGCTGTTGATGAGAATGTCAGTTTCTGGAGCATAGAAAACCTCTTGGGGCGGGACCGGCGGAGCTTCACTGACTTCCGACCAAACTTCATGATAGGTTCGGTATCCAAGCAGGTATCGACGTGTGAAAATGAGCGGATGGCAGCAGTCAGCCAAATCGAAGATGAAAGAGAAAGAAAAAAGAACTCAGCAATGGTTCCTGGCACTCGGCATTACTCAGAAGCACTAACCCCCCACAATGACAAGGAGCATGTAGGGGTCCAAGTGCAGGGCGGTGCGTTTTGCAGGTCGCGAGGTCAGTTCACAGGGGGGTCACCTGACACCAACACAGGCCAAAACTACGAGATGTCGGCGCCTGCGAAGTCGGTGAGCCGCAAAAACTGCATCTCATTATGACTTTTCTGTGATTGACACAGCCTAGGGTCGCGGTCGCAGTGAAATGAGCCCTGGAATTTGATTTTTCATTCTCTTACTCGAGAGAAGGAGCAGATGGAGCAGTCTGATGGAGCCCCCTCCATAAAACCAGTATCGTGCGGACCCAGCCTTGGGTAGTACCTGCCGTGGGATACGTTTTAGACGATAGGCAGGTTAGCCACCTCAGCTGCTAGCTAACCATGCTAACCACCGAGCGAGAACCGCCGCCAGCTGTCAATAGAACCGCTGGATGGAGGGATGGTGGGGAACTCTAGGCGACATGCACAGCTACCTCGCCCCTAGCAGGTACTGGGCAACCCTACAGAGGACCCCGAATGCCAGCTGGTCGAAGCAACCTTCAACGCCACGGCCATTGAAACCTCGCTGGAATGGAGGGGTGAAAACAGTCTATCTTAATTCAAGATCAATCGGGGCCAAGGCCATGAATTGAGCCCTCTGATTGGGCGCGTCAGACAGAAGCCCCTGCTCACAGATTGATCGAGACATCGCTCTGGATTTTTGAGACCAACCGCGCTTCACGAAACAACCAATCACGTTTCGTTCTCGATTCACATGTCACTGGCCACCATTCACGTCTCTCCTTCAACCTCACCCTCAGCACAGCAAAGTACCTACTACCACCTACCTGTTGATAACGAGGGAGATGGCGGAAGCGACGGGAGGAATGATGGGTCTTAGCAGCCAGTTTCGCCGTAAACCCCCGTTGAGCTGAGCAGCACCTCGGTTGGCCCAATGGAACCTACAGGTACCAAGTTACCAGGCGCATGACAAAAAACATGGCCCACGTAAACTAGGGGGCGTACCACCAAAGAATTCATCAGTATACACAAACCTCTACTTTTTAGATCCAATTTCTACAATAATACTCAACTAAAATAATAAAATAAAAGTAATAGGCAGTATCCAACTTGAATGGGCTTTTATATGGTTATTTTATTTTATTTGGATACTTATTGTTTAGATAATTCTGTATAAATTGTTTGTATGGGCCATGTTTTTTGTCACGCGCCTGGGTACCTACCATTGTGTCGTCGCTACGTCATGTCAGGGAAGGGTGTGGAGGGGAACAAGCGATAAACAAAGAGCCGGCGCAAGATTATATCATTTTTATGCGCATGACGACAAATGAATTGGAATGCCTTGTATTTGTGTGACTCTATGATATGTACCAGATACGGATCGGTGTGATCCATTCCCTGTGCTCTATGCAACAGGTCTACTCTCTTCCCATCTTGATGATGTCCCGGCGCCTAAAAAAAATACAGATAAAATGACACGCGCCTGGTCTTATATACAGTTGCGCTCCGAAAGATCGGGTGTACTCGTACATGTTGCTTGAGATGGCAAAAGGAGCCGCCTACCCAAACCGAAGTCCGTCATCATTATCTCATCCCCTGTAAGCCTCATTCATGGTTTGTCCCGACTTTGACATTCATGACCACATTTTGGGTACCCCAACCTGTGGACCTGGCTACCAAATCTGAGAGAAGAGGCGTGTGAGGTCGAGTTTCGTTTTCAAGTCTGGTGGCTTCGCCGGCATGCAGCCTTTCCGAGACTACTGAGTTCCGCCGCCGCTGTAGATTCGAGTTTTGCTCTATGAGGTCCCACTGTTCAAGACTTTCTTGTATCTCAGTAAAGAGCAAATCGGATCGCTCAAGGGCATCGTGACCGATCCGATCTGCCATCCAGGCCCGAACTTCGAGAGTCAAAGGATATTTCAAAAACTTGCTCTCGATAGACGCAAAAGTCTTCCTCACGCGGGTAATTTCCTTCCAGAGACTTTCTATCTGTAGTGCCCTGCTGTAGGATTGCCTTACGTCTTCGTCAAGCTCAAGGCTGCCCCGTTCTCGAGTGGGCTGTAAATATTCCGGTAAGCCAGAAGCACTTCTCGTAACCTTTGCTTTGAGTTTTAGGAGCTTGTTGGATGAGAGTTCAAGCTCAGCCAGTCGCTCAGCCGGTATTTGTCGACTTGCTCCTCCCATTCCGACCATGTCGAAGATAGAATACGTCCTATCAATCAAATGGGCTCTGGTTTGGTAATCACAAAGTTTCATCAGAACCTTCCACAAATGAACGTGCTTGGAGATCTCTTGAAGGAGTTTCACACCCGCAGACCAGTCCAAAGTCCATACACACGCATCGAAAACTTGCTTGATCGTCGTCGTTGTAATAGCTATGTTCCTGCGGATGCAGGTCGTGAAAAAAGTGATCGCCTCCGGTATCATATGAAAATGGATCAGGCCCCTCAAGATCTCCTCTACAACAAGACGGTTCAGCGGCAAGTGCTCGTAGACGTAGTCACCAAGCAAGGTTCTGTCACGGGTGTTCATAGCCCAGCGACGATACATGGGATCATCCAGTGCAGCATCAATGTGGAATCGTCGTACTTTTGCACCACTTTTGGGGTCAAGGCCAACTATACTCGCGATGGTCCGCATGAACTTTCCATGATTCCTTGTCAAGGTGTAGTGGGAAAGGATCGCAGCGAAAGTTGTCGGCGTGGGCTTTAGATATGTCTCGAAGAAAAAGCTGTGGATGATTTGCTCCGAGAAGGCAGTAAGGTGCACGCCATCAAGCTCGATCATCAAGGAGTTGAACGTATGCATATCCGGCGGATACGCCGAGATAAGGAGGTTATAGCAAACCCTTCCTATCTTTTCCTTGGTCCCAATTCCGCGATGATTTATGGCGACCCTGTTGGCTTGATTGATCCTGACGGTATTCAGTTTAGCCGCCTCCATGTCAATGCTTCGAAGTTGATAAAACGGGTATCCAGAGTCGAGTAAGCGCATAGCTTCATCATATGATGGTGATGGGGTCGTATCCGAAGATCGAGCATTGGCACGCAATAGCAGCTTCTCAGCCATGTTCCTGATACTTTTGCCAAAATTCTCCAGGTGGACCTTGGAAAGGGGATCTCGGCGTGTTATTTGATCGCTCACTTCTTCATAGGCGGCAGAAAGCCTCAAGCCACCAGTAGCCCGGTTCCGTAACGAGAGGCCCAAGGTCGTCTCGGTGCAGTTGTAGAAGTCTCGTTGCAATCCTGCCCGCAGAGCAGACCTGCGCAGCCGGGCTGGCTTGTGCATCTCTTTGAAGTAGGGCCGATTGGAATATATGTCCCTCAAGCAATTCCAAGCATGATCCATTTGGTCATCAGTCAGACGCTCGATGCTCGATTCAACCCAATAGGCCATATCTTGCTTTCTCAAATTGCCCAGGTCGCGCTGAACATCCTCCACCTGCCGGTCGAGCTCCCGTCTCCGTTCGCACTTAGAAACGGCATCAATTAGGGCCGCCGAGGCAAAAAGTGAGCTGTAACATGCCGTAAGGATGTCGGGAAATTCTGGTTTTCGGTGCGGCGTGTTCGTCACTCGGCGACCAAGGCCAGCCACAGATGTGCTATATGCCCTCCGGCCGCAACGATGGGCCCGCCTGGCTGTCGCCCATAGTGACTGCATCGATCAAGGACTGGGCGGTCGTTCGCCCATAGTCTCTGCGGCGCCGCAAATGTATGTCGGGCAATCAATTGGCGCAATGTCGTTCGAAACCACTCGGTAGTCGCTCCTCCCATCGAAAGCACGGGCAGAAAGTGGAATGATCTCGGTGGGCAAGTGGGACGGACGTATCCAGCCGCGCAAGTCACGTGTTGCCAATTAGTCCACTATGTGTCCCAGGATGGTGCTCCAACACCACTTACACACAGGTCGGAAACCAGCAGCGAGGAAGCCGAGTATCGGTATTCAAGATATAAAATCTCACTAGACAACAGCCGGGGTCTTCTGGTGGTGATTCTGCCAAAATGTTTACACTTGTTCTTACCGCTGAGCTCAATGGGTATACAAGCTTACCATCATTCAAAGACACCAACCCAACAAGATGCTAATTGTGGCAGAGTGACAAACCTCCGGCCCCAGGATACTGAGGACAACCCATTCTGGTTCATGTTCAAGGTCCAATGCACCTCCTGTCGCGAGACCCATGCCAATACGGTTGGCGTCAACCGCTTTGTATGAGCCAGACGCTCCCCCGCTTACTTGAGCAGCTACTGACGAGATAATCTAGGAGGCAAACGAGCTGAGCGGGAGCAGAGGCGAGGCTAACTTCGTTTGGAAGTGCAAGAACTGCAAGGTTCGGAATCATGAGTGTTGCGATGTTAGTCCCGGGTTGTGTGAGGCTAATATTATCACCAGCGAGAGTCGTCTGCCTCCATTAAGGCTGCAGCCACACCATATGAGCAGGCAGAGCCACCTAAGAAGCAAAAGATCATCGAATTCGACTGCCGTGGCCTTGAGTTCACAGAATTCCACCCCGAGGTACGGCCCCATCATAACATTGGTCGTTTTTTTTTTCGCAGTGAATGGCTAACGCTTTAATTCTTAAAGGGGGAGTGGCTCGCGGAAGGCATTGATTCCAACACAAAATTCACAGCCATCGAACTGGTGGATGGCGAGTGGTTTGACTACGACGAGAAAGCGGGGGATGAAGTGAGCATCAAGGACCTCACTTGGGAGATTCGTCGCGCCTAGCCAGAAAGTTGATGTTCAAACCCGAAAAAAAAAACATAAATAAACCGAATGTTCTCATAATCTGATTGTTCTACTGCTGAAAAGGATAATCTAAGAAAGATCAAGCCTCGCTAGGGGAAATGCATCTTCTTATACTCTTTGGCTGGTCCAGGGTAAGATTAAGGTTGGCCATCAAGGTGAGCCCCACGCCTGTCGAACAGGGGATTTGTTTCTGCACCAGCAACATTTTTACGGTCTCACATCGCTCCCTGAGTCTACAGACTAGACACCGACGCGTTCTCATCAACCATGGAAACCCTGCAGCTTTCTAAGACGATAGAGTATCTCACAGATGTGGCTCATTTTCTACACGAGGCCGCCCCAGAGACCGCTGCACACTTGATGGCCCAGCGCCGTGATCTCATGTACGAACACAAGCTCTCACCGCATGAAAACCAGCGGCAACATGTCTGCGGAGCTTGTGGTCATTTCATGATTCCTGGAACAGGAAGCGCATTTCGGTTACAGAGGCCCAGACATGGCGGGAAAAAGTCACAACCCTCCAAACCTACCGCCAAACCCATGACCAAAACCATTACCTGTGGAATGTGCGATGGCAAGACTCGAATTGGCCTGACAGACTCAATAGCTCCAGTCCGCTACAAGTCTAGAAAAGCACATTCTTCCAAACCCAAGTCTCCAGCTGAAGCAAACAGTGGTACTGGGCCAGACCAGCTCAAACTCAGCTCAAATGCAGGCAGCAAGAAGAGGGCGAAAAATAGAAAAGCAGGGTTGCAGGCCTTGCTCTCTGGCCAGCGGCAGCAGCAGTCCAACCCTCTCAGCCTGGCAGACTTTATGAAGAAATGAGGGAGAAGCACATTACTAACTCATCGTCATTATACATGGCATCTCAGGCCTGCCATACTAGTACTCAAGTGAGCTTGTCAGTTGACAGGATGTTATACTGATATTCCAACAACTGCGATAGGGGAGATGAAAGGGTGTCATATCTCAAGAAGGTAACTGCAATAATATTCGGTTTCATCCTTCTCTCGTTCCTAATCGAGCACTTGCTTATATGGCTGACCTCCAACAGGCTGAATTTTCCTCAGCTCGCAGCTGTGGATGATCTCCGGTGGGTGCTGGATGGTGCTAGAAGCCGCCTCAGCAGCGCCCTGAAGCAATTGAAAGCAACGGCCATCAGGGGTGCGGCCATGTAAAAGCCCACCATGACATAACACCCCGCCATCCTTGGCGCTGCCCCTCCAAAAAATTTCCAGACCCCTCCATCGAGTCACACATCTCAACTTATCGCAAACCTCTGGGACAAGGCTCTCCTCAATCGCAAGCGAGAATGTCTGCCAACGGCCAGAGCGACCAGGTCACAAAGACCCAGAACCCCGACCAGTTCTTCCAGGCTATCGGGAACAAGGTCGAGGACCTTGCGCCAGCCACAAATGGAGCTGATACCTCAGACGATAGACCCCCGGTGGAGGAAATCGAATCACTCTGCATGAACTGTGGTAAAAATGTAAGTGATCGCCTCAGACTACTCAGCGCCTCACAAGCGTGGTCATTTCTCTTCGAATGAATTCTAATACCTTCACAGGGAATCACCAGGCTCCTCCTCACCGTCATCCCCTACTTCCGCGAGGTCGTCATTATGTCCTTCGCCTGCGAGCACTGCGGCCTCCAGAACAACGAAATCCAAGCCGCCGGCACCGTCCAGCCCAAGGGAACCCACTACGAGCTCCGATTAACACACCTCGACGACTTCCAGCGCCAGGTCGTCAAGTCGGACACCGCCACCGTCAAATTCATAGAACTCGACCTCGAGATCCCCGCCGGACGAGGCCAACTCACAAACGTCGAAGGTCTCCTGACGACCGTTGTCGACGACTTAGAACTCGGCCAGGAGGCGCGAAAAGAACAGTCGCCCGAGGTGTACCCCAAGATCGCCGAGATCATCGCCAAGGGTCGCGCCATGCTCCTTGGCGACGCATTCCCCTTCCGCGTCTTCGTAGACGACCCAGCTGGAAACTCCTTCATCGCCCCCGACCTCAAGGATGGCGTCGGCAAGTGGGAGAAGCGAGAGTTCCTCCGCACCCCAGAGCAGAACGCCGCCCTTGGACTCGCCGACAGCGCCAGCGACCCCAACGCCGCCGTTTCCACTCAGGCCCTCACAGCCGACGGCGAGATCATCCCCGACGAGGTATACAGCTTCCCGGCCACCTGCCCAGGCTGCATGCACCCCTGCACAACACACATGAAGATGGTCGACATCCCCCACTTCAAGCAGGTCGTCATCATGTCCACAGTCTGCGACGCATGCGGCTACCGCTCAAACGACGTCAAGACGGGAGGCGAGATCCCCGAACAGGGCGAGAAAATCATACTCAAGGTCGAGGACGCCACGGATCTCGCCCGCGACATCCTCAAGAGCGAGACCTGCGCGCTCCAGTGCCCCGAGCTCCGGCTCGAGGTCAACCCGGGCACCCTCGGCGGCCGCTTCACCACCGTCGAGGGCCTGCTCACCCAGGTCCGCAATGACCTGCACAGCCAGATCTTCGAGGCCAACGCCCACGGCGGCGACTCCCTCGCCTCGGACCAGAGGGCGCAGTGGGACGATTTCTTCGGCGGCCTGGATGCCGCTATCAAGGGGGACAAGATTTTCACGGTCATTCTCACCGATCCATTTGCCAGCAGTTTTGTCCAGCCACTGGTCGACCCACCAGCCCCAGATCCCAAGATACAGAGAGAGAAGTATGACCGAACGGAGGAAGAGGAGGAGGAATTAGGACTAAAAGATATGAAGGTGGAAAATTATGAAGAGCCAAAAAAGGAGGGTGATGCCGAGCCCAAGGTATGAATCAGCTAGCATAGTAGATAATGGCACATGCGCACAAATAAAAAAAAAGACGATAGACCGACCTCTTGCTCCAAACCCAGCGCAACTTTATCGTGACCACCTCAGAAGTGTTTAATCCAGTCAAGAACATCATGTTGTTTTTAAGAATTCAATCTGATTTTGAGAAGCTAACTAAGTGCTTTTACCTATCCCCCTAGGGTAAAAGACATGGCATCTCTCCATCGCCAAGCAAAGGTAAAAGGCTAGTAGAACCACAATTGTGTAACCAGCCAAGTCGCGCTCGCGCCTCTACTCTTCGAAACTAACATACACTGACTGCTCTTTTTGGTTGCCTGTAACGAGTCTTTGACTTTGTAAAGGCGAAGAAAGGAAAAAAAGAAAAAGAAAAACCCTGACATAATCCAACCAACCAATTCATCTTCCCAACCTAGCGAAGCAAAAAAATCATCTGAAGGACTAACAAGCCTTCTATAAAATATGACATGGGAAAGCCCATCTCAGCCCTCCCATGGTCACATTCCGACCTGTCGAACTTGGCGTGAAACCGCGGAGCATTTGGTGACAATTTGTTTCAGTATGCTCCTTCCGTTGAGGGGTTGGCATCTTTGCCTGCACGTCGATTCCGTTGCGTAGGGTGAGGTGACATTAACCCATCGTCGACAAGTATACCGTTGCAAAGGAAAACGAAGAAAAAGAAAGAAAAAAGAGTACATAATTAGCGAAGACCTGATGAGGAACGGCTAATTCCAGGAGTATCTCGACTTGGTCTCGTGCAACTGAATAACGCCACAAAAATTCAACCCAAAGCAAAAAGGCTAGA